CTACTTCATGTGTGTTTTTAACATAAAATGTCCCTACCTAAGGGAAGCTAATGAGTGAAGAGGTTTAAACTCGGTTCTTCAGACAAATTTATTGAATAAATGTCTATATTAGAATCCTATAGCTGCTATAAACTATATAATCACACCACTTGATTAAAACAAACAAACATATGCTCTTACAGTGTGGATGTCAGAGGCTTCAAATGAGTCTCACTGACTAATATCCAGATGTGTGCAGTGTAAGGGTCCTTCTAGAGGTGAGGGCAGGATCTATTCTCTCTGATGCCTGTTAGTGTGGCTGGCCGCCTGCATTCCATGGCTCATGTTCCTTCCTCCATCTTCAAGCCAGCTGGGTAGCATTTTCAAAGTTTCTCTGAGTCCAATTGTTTTGTATCTCTCTTCAGCGTTAACAGAATCATTGTGGTTACCTTAGTCCCACCTGGATGAGCCTGGCTTATCCTCTATCCTGAAGTCAGCTGATTAACAACCCTGTTCCATTTGCTACTTTAATCCTCCCCTTGCTAAAAGATATATCATATTCACGTGCTTAGAGGTTGGAGAAACAAGAGAGAAATGTGCCTGCAGAGTAAATACGGGGATTTATAAATATCCCCTCATCCCCGGTCTCTCAGCTTGTGTAACCTTAGGCTGGGAGGGCATGGTTATGTTTATTTCTCACTGTCATTTGTTCATTTGGAGGCCCAATTCTGACGGGGAATTGATACTTCACACTGTCCAGCTGTCTTGCCAGTGAACAGAGCTTCAGTCTCTTTCATCAAACATTTAGGGAGGAATTCAGATGTCCCCACAATGACCTTCCTCTCAGAGATCGTATCCTGGTGAGTCAATAACACAGCTGACCCTGCATGACAGGGTCACAGAGAATGGAAGCCAAAAACATTTACCTATTTTCACCTAAGAGACAATTCAACTTAGTCCAGAGGCAAGAGATTGCTGTGTTTGGTAAAATAATTAATGTATTTATTTCAGTGGCTACGTAAGAATTCGCAGTGTGACTGCTATTCACACCTTTTATGGTCTTTCATACTCTTTATCCCTAAATTGCTCTCATATCAATGCTATTAAAATATATTTAAATTATGAAATTCAAACTGTGGTTCTGATCAGCGGTGATTTTGTCCCCTATGAGACATTGAGCTATTTCCAGAGAGATCTGTGACTGTCACACTGGAGAGGGGTGGGTGGAGGCAGGGATGCTAAACAATCTTCAAGTCACAGGACAGACCTCACCACAGAGAACAGTCTGTCCCAGATGCCAACAGTGCCGATGCTAAGAAACTCTGAATTAAATAACATCATTATTTGTAATACTTATAGCTGACTTCAGGTTGTTTTCCAAAATTGTAACACTTTCTGACAGTGAAATGAGAGTACACCCTTTTGCTACCAGTTTCAAAGTTCCAACCCCAACCAACATGACTGCTCTTCCAGTTTTTCTCCAGGCTGATGGGTATGAAAGATATTTCTTGTTGTTTTCTCAAACTATTACTCAGTTTCTGCAAACTTCATTTATTTTCTCGTTTTTCAATAACATTTCTAGAAAACATTCTTTCTGAACTGATTGTTGTAAGATATTTTGACCATAAATTTTTAACATTTTATTTAAATATATCTATTTTCTAACCACTGAGTTTCTTTCTTTAGTTAAGACAGTTTTGCCCATCTGTAAATTTTATATGTAGTTTCTAATGTTCATCAAAAATGTATTGGTGATTCTTACACCAAGTTCATACCCTCTATGATATCTTGCAAGATGTCAGAGGGCAAGGACCAATTCAATATTCTTTCAGATCCATAGCCATTTTTGCCAGCTTTCATGTAACAATTCAAGCTTTTTCAACTATGTTGAAGCATAAGCTTTCCATATGGAAAATGTTCATGTACATTGAAACCTAATTCCAGACTCATTAAATGAACAATAACTGAGCATCTGCTATGTGCCAGAAAATTCTAGGAACATTATACATTATATACATTTATATCTAGGTCTTTATAATTTAATAGTCAACCCACATTGATATTATTAAATGATTGTGTTTTGTGTCTTGTTTCAGTTAGTGTTTAATTCTCCACTCAATTCTGCATACTGTTGTTATTTTGAAACTACTTCTTTTAACCTGGTTTCATTATCCTTTTATTTTTTCGTTTTATCACTGTTCACATTCTTAGTTTTGTCTCTGTGTAAGTGCACATCTATTCACATACCTTTGTGGAAAATCCAAACGTGAATAAAGCAGGTTAAGTGTCTGCTCTTTTGATCATACAGTTTGACAGTGAGGGCAGAGAACATAAAATAAATGTGTGTTTAAAATATTGTCCTCGGGAAGAGTCATATGAAGAAAGCTATTCAGTATAAAGAGATAGAACTGCCATGGTGTGGGCAGGATTTATAAGGCATGGTCTGGGGAGGATTTACATGCTGCATGAAGACCGGAACCAGGACCAGAGTGTGCTCACAGGGTGTGTCAAAGAAAAGATGAAAACCCAAAGCCCAAAAATGACACAGAAAAGGTGCCGCATAAGAAAAGGGAGAAAGGGACACCAGTGGTCGGCAAACCGGGGCTCGGGAGCCACATGCAGCTCTTTGGCCCCTTGAGTGTGGCTCTTCCACAAAATACCGACTTCTGCGCATGGACCACGAAGTTTCAATCGCACTGTACGTGCGCGCCCGCACGTGGTATTTTGTGGAAGAGCCACACTCAAGGGGCCAAAGAGCCGCATGTGGCTTGGGAGCCACGGTTTGCCGACTGCAGGACTAACCTCATTCCCTATCAGACCACATAAAAACAAATTGGTCAAGTGACTATGAATAGGTACAGAAAACAAGTCTTCCACTGCTTGATAACAAAATTACCCAACTTTTTTTATACTTTATGTGTGTGAAGTGTTGGTTTATGCCTTTACTCATTATAAAGGTGTACAAAATAGAAGATACTTTTGTCTTTTGGACAAGCTTATTCTTGTTTACGTATTGTTTTGCTGGCATCAATGGGATATGTTGAGGGTTTAAATACTGCACACCCAAGAATATTCATGTTCCTCACACTCTCTCCATGACCCCCTGAGCTTATTAAATCTCTATTCCTTCTCATCTATTGCATTCTTCTCCCCTTAATCTCTCTCTCCTTTCAATTCGTTGAGCATATTTCATTATGTTTTATTAAATAAAGGGCAGAAAATGGCCATCCCAGTATGTAACCCCAAGTTTATTTGTCTATGGAAGGCTTAAGAATTGGAATTTTTGAAAACCATTTCTACATTAGACAGGTAAAAGATCACTGATCTGGCCACCTTTGATTGTTTCCATTTGTACCATTGTCAGTATGCCTGGGGCTAAGACAGACATGGGAATAACTATCAAGGAGGCCGTGGTGGTGGTGGTGGTGGTGGTGATGGTGTGTGTGTGTGTGTGTGTGTGTGTGATTTTAAGATGTGAGCAGTCCTCAGACCAAGGGTAGTTGTACACTCCAAGCTGGCTCATACAATATGAGACCAGAACTCAATCAAGAGAAGCTACTAAGAAGGGGATCTGTTTCCATTCACAGGACACCTTTGCAACATGATTAATAAAGTATAAGAGGCTGTGTGGATGAGGAAGTCCCTGTGCCTGAGGTGTCAGCAGTAGCAGACAAGCCACCTCACTCCTCAATCTGTCAGCCACCACTTCTCATCACTCTCCTTCATGCTTATTCACCTTGCAAACTTGCTTCACTTTTTGACTTGAACATTGGACACCAGAACCTTCCCCAGGGCCTTTGCACTGGCCAGTCTCTCTGCTTGCACACACTTTCCCACAGAGCCTTGTATCTGCCTTTCTCTGTTGTGTTAAAAAAAAATATTTCAGGGTCAAAAGCTTTTTTTAACATATTTTTTATTGATTTCAGAGAGAAGAAGGGAGAAGGAGAGAGAGAGATCGAAACATCAATGTTGGGAGAGAATCATTGATCCGCTCCCTCCTGCAGGCCCCCCCCCCCCACTAGAGATCGAGTCCCACAACCTGGATATGTGCCCTGACCAGGAATCCCTTCTGGTTCATAGGTTGACACTCAACCACTGAGCAACACCAGCCTGGCCAAAAGCTTTTCTTTTAAAAAAAACAACAACATTATTTATTGAGCCAAATGCCAGCCAGGAGAGGGCCAGGTCCTGGAGCATGGAGTTGAAACCACCAGCAGCAGAGCGAGGTACAGAAGACGTGTCCACTGTGCTAGGAGAAAGTAAACTGGGGCAGGTCTGGGATAGACACACAAGTATTTACATTACCATTTTGATTGGTTACAGGCAAGAGTCCTGAAAATTCATGCACATGGAGTATGCAGGGGTCTCTAGTGATCACTACAGATATTGATTCAAGTTCCAACATACATTCAGGAATGAGAGCAGTCTTTAGTAAGTGGATTCACAGCTTTTAGCTGGTTGACTACTCTTATCTTTTTCTCTCACTCTCTGGCCCCAGTGCTATTTAACTTAGGACATCTCAAAATTTTCCCTGCTCACCTTTTTGAGATCTCTGTTCAAATGACACCTTGCTTGCAGATCTACCTACAATCTCATGAAAAATAGAACTTCCTATTCACTTTCTCCTTTACACATACTTTCCTTTTCTTCTTATGAGTGGCCACCATCTGAAATAATTTATTATTTTATTATTTGTTTCTACATTCATCCTTCCTCATTGGATTATAGAGACGTTTTTCAGCACCCTATTCTCACAGCCTGGACAGTGCCTAAAACATGATCAGCACTCAATTTACATTCCTGAGAAACATGAAAAAAATTCTCATTCAAACTATAGAATACATGAAGCCCTCAGAGAAATAGGGGATTGAGACAAACAATCTATATCAGGGGTGGCACTGGATATCCCATACAGGGGACCATATCCATACACAAAATATTAAAATTAATGTCTTCACTATAAAATATTAATTGTAGCATTTCAAATATGTGAGTAATACAACTTTGTGTGAAAATTAGTCATGTTATTCTCATCTTTCCTGGTGGAACCTGTGAATCTTACACAAATTTCAGAATTTCTTCTTCTGGGAATTTCAGAGAAGCCAGAACTGCAGCCCCTCATATTTGGGCTTTTCCTCTCCATGTACCTGGTCACTGTGTTGGGAAACCTGCTCATCATCCTGGCTGTCAGCTCAGACTCCAACCTCCATACGCCCATGTACTTCTTCCTCTCCAACCTGTCCTGGGTAGACATCTGTTTCACCTCCACCACCGTCCCAAAGATGCTGGTGAACATCCAGACACAGAGCAAAGTCATCACCTATGAAGGCTGCATCACCCAGATGTATTTTTATACATTCTTTGCAGTGTTGGACAATTTTATCCTGACAGTAATGGCCTACGACCGGTTTGTGGCCATCTGCCACCCCCTACACTACATGGTCATCATGAACCCCCAGCTATGTCGACTCTTGGTTCTGGTGTCCTCCAGTATGAGTGCCCTACATTCCTTGCTACATAGCTTAATGGTGTTGAGGCTGACCTTCTGCTCAGACTTGGAAATCCCCCACTTTTTCTGTGAACTCAATCAGGTGGTCCACATTGCCTGTTCTGACACCTTTCTTAACAGCCTTATGATAAATTGTCTAACTGTGCTGCTGGGTGGTGGTCCCCTTGCTGGGATCCTTTACTCATACTCTAGGATACTTTCCTCCATATGGGCAATCCCATCAGCTCAGGGGAAATATAAAGCATTTTCTACATGTGCATCTCACCTCTCCGTTGTCTCCTTATTTTATGGAACAAGCCTAGGAGTGTATCTCAGCTCTGCTGCTACCCAAAACTCACATTCAAGTGCAACAGCCTCGGTGATATACACTGTGGTAACCCCTATGCTGAACCCCTTCATCTACAGTCTCAGGAACAATGACATAAAGAGGGCCCTAGAAAGGTTATTTGGAAGGTAAGCTAACTATACTAGTCTGAAGAAGTGCCCATGAATGCAGGGTTCAAAGCCTCAGAGTCTAAAGTTCTGACACAAATAAAGCCAATCTTTGGACCATATGTAATTGGAAATTCTAGTTATCTCATGAGTTAACTTGAATTACTTTACAATAATTTATTCTCTTATGACATATATCATTCCAAGTAATTTTTCTATTGTTTTCCTCAAAGAATAGTCATGAATTATGCTATTCCTATGGACAAAACTGCACTTGGATACTAAGGGCATTTACATAATTTTATTGTACAGAAAAATCTGAGACTACAGTTTTCACTTATATGTTCCTCATTATTTTCTATAATGCTACCTTTACTGCTGTTGTTGATAATGTAGACTTTAACATACTAGTATGTTTCATAGCTAGTCTCTTGGTTTTATAGTCTTTAATATGCTGTGTATCCCCATGTTTATCATAGCCACTGGCAAAAATTGACAATCTAACATATGTTTCCAAGCATCTACATGGAAATATAAATTTTAATAAATAGACTGATCTCATATGGTTAGAGTCTGAGATGTCTTTAAATATGATGAAGCAAAAATAAACATATAACTTATTGTTACTCAAAATTTTTTTTCAGGGCATGCAACTACTCATTAAAATATGGCTATGATGTCTATGTGTAGTAGTCCTTATTCATTAGGGTGAAAATTACCAGAAGAGTTTTATGTGCTTTTTCTGAACTATTTTCCTGTTTCTGATGAAAATCTTTCAATGTGCTCTCTATAAATGTGCCTCCTTCTAGTGCTCCAGGTTAAATATATCCCCTTTTCTAATCTTTTTCAAATCCACCAAAGAGACAGTGAGTGAACAATCTCAATATCATACAGTATATATCTCCTTTATACTCAGAAATATCTTCAATCTTTATAATCAAAGGATGAATCACACAGGAGTTGAAATCCTGCCCAGTCATGTGAGTAAGCATCACAAATTTTCCTGCACAAACGTGCATGTCCTTCCACCCTGCCCTGACTACCTGGAAGGGAGCCTCAGTGGAGGCACTTCTATACAGTTATCTGAAATGCATTTGAATAACAGAGTGATTGTGAGTGCTGTCCTTAAATTCAGTACAAATGCCAAAAGTAAGAAGTAGCAGATTACTATAATTTCCCTCAGTTCTGTTGACTTTGATTATAGGATCAATTTGTTATTGCTCTATAATAAGCCATCCTAAAAGCAAATAGTTTAATATAATTCCTTTATTTTCTAATGGGTTTGTATAGTGGGGAGGTATTCTGATCTCTGTTGGTCTCCTCCTGGTCTGCAGTCAGCTATGGGTCAGCTATGGGTCAGCAGGAGTGTCCCATAGCTGGGCTTTCTAACGTATTAGGGGCTCAGCTATGGTGACTGATCTAGGGAGGGCTTGGCTGGAATAAATGAGCTCTGTCCGCATGTCCTTTCCTTCTCTGGAAGGCCCACCTGGATTTGTTCATATGGCTCAGCCAGGGATCCAAGTGAGAGCATGGAAATGTACCAAGGCCTGGTAAAGCACATTGTCACTTCCACCATATTTTAACGGTCAAAACAAATAAAAAATCCTAAGTCCAGTCCAGATTCAAAGATGGAGCAAAAAGCTACACCTCTGGCATGGAGGAGTTCACAGTCACATTGCCAAAGATTTGGAAACAGACAAAGAATTGGGGCCACATCTGAAAACATTCTACCATGTGTGTAAATTTCAATCCAGTAAAGTTTTATTTCAACATTTTCCCTCAACAGCTGAATGATCTTAGAGAAGAAAGTGAAAGTAAAAATATGTTTAATGAGCAGATGTGGATGTTCTACTCTAGTGGGTCAGGCCCCTCCAAATATGAACATCGTCCCTCTGCCACTTGCCTCTCACTTACCATTTCTAGGCTGAAAAAGTAAAACTTTTTCCTTCCACATACCTTGATTCCAAGGACTTAACTCACCGACTAATTGAGCTAGAGAGCTGTTGATTTCCTGACACAATCTTTATTGGCATCCTCATGTAGACATTACTTCTCTTTTTATTGACCTACTCTTAACATATTATAATGACTTCTAATCGGATACTTGTATTTCTTGGGGGTGGGGCTCCTGATGGAAGGAGGTGGTATTTGAAATGCACATACAACAGAAAAAATAAGTATTTGTAAGAATAGAGTTGCTGACATTATGCTGAGTGGAAGAAGCCAGTCAAAAAAAGATAAAGACTGCATGAATTCACTTATAAGCTATATCTGAGGTAGTCAAATTAATAGGAACAAAATATAGAATGGTGGTTGTCAGGCATGGAAGGAGGGGTGATGGGGAGTTAGTGTTTACTGGGTGTAGAGTTTCAGTTTTGCAAGATGATGAAAAAAGATTTAGAGGTTGGTTGCACAACAGTGTAAATGTACTTAACACTACTGAACTGCACACTTAAAAATGGTTACAATGGTAAATTTTTTTATGTGTTTTTTACCACTTAAAATTTTCAAAAAAGGAAGGAAATTTTGACACCTGCTACAACATGGATGACCCTTAAGGACATTATGCTGAGTGAAATAAAACAGTCATAAAAAGACAAATACCGGGCCTGGCCAGCATGGCTCAGTGGTTGAGCTTTGACCTAGGAACCAGAGGGAACAATTTGAATCTGGGTAGGGGCACGTGCCTGGGTTGTGGGCTCAATCCTCCAGTTGGGGGCATGCAGGAGGTAGCCAACCAATGATTTTCTCTCATCATTGATGTTTCTATCTCTCTCTCCCTCTCCCTTCCTCTCTGAAATCAATTTAAAAAACATATTAAAAATAAAAAGACAAATCCTGTATGACTCCACTTTTATGAGGTCCCTAGAGGAGTCAAACTCAGAGACAGGAAGTAGAATGATAGGTACCTCAGGCTGGGGGAGGAGGAAGAGAAATGAGTGTTTAATGGGAACTGAGTTCCAATGTATGAAGATGAGAAAGTCTAGAGCTGAATGGTGGTGATGGTTGCATGTGAATGTACTTAATACCACTGAACTGTCCACTTAAATAATGGTTAAGATGGTAACTTTTATGTTATATTATTTCAGCACGTTAAGAAAAATACAGGGCAGGAGGCTAAGAGAGGACACATACTATTTTCTTTTCCTGTGTGCACAGACAGTAGGCAGGTGAGAAGGAAAATCTCTAATGTTTTAAACCCCTGAGATTTGGGGTTTGCTTGTTCCTAGAGCAGAACTGAGCTCACCCTGACTCAGATATGGCAGCTGACACCCAAGTCCTCTTCATGTGTGCTGATGCCCTTATTTGTGAACTCCAGGATTGGGACTAGGATGAGAAGTGAGGCTGTTGTCTCAGAAGCAAAATTTAAGGAAGTGTCAAAAACTCAATAGTCAAAAGATAACCATTATTCAAATTCAGTGTTTCAAAAAATCAAAATTAATATAAAACATGCTTGATGATTGAAATAAAAAAAAATTTAAATTAAGACAGGATCTGTCACAACAGTGTGCTAGACATTGTAGAATTGAGGCCAAAGGAACAATCAATCTTTGTGCCTCATTCGTCTCCCTGTAGTCCCTGCTCTGGTGAACACCCGTGACATTCTGCCTGGGGCTTTCTATGGCCCATGTGGCTCCAGGTCAGAACTGAAAAGGAGTTTGCATCCCTGGGAATGACCCTCCATCATTTTTGGTGAATCAATACCCCAGCTCCCTCACTCCTCAAGGGTGTGTGTCTAACACACTCTTAGAGGTTCCTGGAGGGACTGAACCCCAGGTGCCCACTGCAGAAATTGCTCATTTAAACTCTCACTATTTGTTGCCTATCTCACATCCCTTCTTCTCTACTCCTGTTTTCTAAGATCCACTTCTAAACACATACCTGCACTCAACCCTTATCTGAGGCTCTGTAGTGAGGGGAAGCCAGCCCAAGGCAGATGTCTATTACAATTTCATTTCAACCTGGCAAACACTTTAACTCCTGATTCACCTTTGAATTTCTGGCCAAATCTGTTGTTAGCGATTTACTGCTGTGCAACAAATTGCCCCAACGTAAGGGCCTAAAATAACAGCAAATAGTTATGATCTCAGAGATTTTGTGGGTCAGGAATTAGCTATGCCTTCTCTGGATTCTTCGCTTCAGAGTCTCTAATGGGCCACCATGTCAGCTGAGGGCTTGATGAGGGAAGGGTCATTCCCAAGTCCACTCAGGTGTTGTTGGCAGGACGCAGTTCCTCGCTGGCTGTTCAGTAGGCAGCTCTCAGCTCCTCACCACATGGGTCTCTCCACAGGGCAGCTGGCAATGTGGCAGCTGGTTTCACCAGAACAAGAGATAGAGAGAGGAATGGGGAGGAGACACACACACACACACACACACACACACACACACACACACACACAGAGCGTGCATGCCATGGGAGCTAGATGGAAATCTCAATCTTCTTTAAGCAAATCTTGAAAGTGACATCTCACCACCTTAGTCTTACTCTCCTATTAGAAGTGAGTCATGAGGCCTTGCCCATACTCAAGAGGAGGGCATTACACACGAATACCAGGAGGCAGGGATCATGAGGGCTGTCCTGGAGTCTGTCCTCTGATTTCCCCCTTCGTAGTGTATGGTACCAACAACAGCTCAGTTGTTCAGGCCCCACATGGGTGTCATCCTGTCCATAAGGCATCTAACCTTGTTCCAAATGGCCCTTCTGATCTCACCTCCTTCCTTCATCCTGTCTTGGCCTTTCTTCTCTCCATGGAAGCTCAGTCCCACCTCAGGGCCTTTGCACCCACTGTTCCCTCTGCCTGGAACTCTCTCAACCCAGACATCTGCATGGCTCCTCCTTCAGGGTCTTTCACAGGCTGCTATCCAGGTGATGGTGAGGCTACAATCTCATCTGAAGGCCGGATAAGGTAAGCACCCACTTCCTTCCAGCTTTAGCTTTAACACGAACTCCTTAAATATACATTCCTGATTCCCTATTTAGTCCTGTGTGGTAAAGAGTTAACTTAGACAGATTGGGGTGCTTCA